CTATTACTGTGCTAGAGACACAGTGAGGGGACCTCAGTGTGAGTCCAGACACAAACCTCCTGCAGGGCACCCAAGGCCAGCAGGGGGAGTACAGCACACAGGGAGCTCAGGGTCAGCCAGGAGCAAGAGCACAGTGGGTTTGAGGGCTGGTTTCCTGCATATGGGGGCCTCTCTGTTTACCAGCTTTCCAGGGGAGCTCTGTGGCCTTGTGGTCTATGCTTATTTTTTATTTGTCTGAAGGTAATTATCCTGTTTCTGTGATTTTTTCTTTTAAAATAGTGTTTTATTTTAAATAATATTGTAAATAAAATAGTGCATCTTACATATATTGATTGGGATACATTTTGACATTATCACATTCATTCATTGAATATAAAAGCCCTTGGTCTGTCCCAGGACCTCCTCTGTCCTTCCTCCATTACTCCTCAGTTACTTTACCCCCCTAAGTTTTATTCCATATTTTTATACTTTTTAATTAAATTATCACTATGTGTATGCATATCTACATGAGAAACTCACTGTGGAACACACTACATGTGCAGGAATCACACGTGTCCAGAACTGGCCATTCACATCTGCTTACTTCACTCCTGGCTCCACCAAATTTCTGTCCTTCCTCCCTCACCCTTAGTGACCTGTATCTATTCATGTCCTTGGCCCATTTATTGATTGGGTTATTTGTTTTCTCAGTGTTTAGCTTTTTTAGTTCTTTGTATGCCCTAGAGATTGTGCTCTATCTGATGTGTGGAATTTTACTTGGCATTAAAAAAGAACAAAATCATGGCATTTGCAGGTAAATGGATTGTGTTGGAGAAGAAAATGCTAAGTGAAGTCAGCCAATCCCTAAAAAACTAATACATAATGTTTTCTCTGATATAAGGAAGTTGACTCATAGTGGGATTGGGAGGGAGAGTATGGGAGGATTAGATGAATTCTAGATAGGAAAGAGGGGTGGGAGGGAAAGGGAGGGGGCAGGGGATTAGCAAGGATGGTGGAATGTGATGGACATCATTATACAAAGTACATGTATGAAGACTTGAATTGGGTGTCAACATCCGTTATATATAAAGAGAGATACAAAAATTGTGATATATATGTGTATTAAAATTGTAATGCAAAATCAAACAAAAAAAAAAGAATAGTGTTACCTTCGATTAGGTAGAGAGAAGTTAAAGGAGGGGAAGGCAGGGGATTTGGGGATAAGAAAGATAGTAGAATGAAACAGACATTATTACTTTATGTTTGTATATGATTGTATGACCAATGTGATTCTACAATATGTATACTCAGAAAAGTGAGAAATTATATCCCATCTATGTATGATACACCAAAGTATATAAGTGCATTCTACTGTCATGTATAACTAATTAAAACAAATAAAAATTTGTTGTGTGTGAGCTGCCTCCATCACCATGAGCTCGGTGACATCCACACCCCACAGCCAGGCCCCCAAAGTCAAAGGTACCCACTCTTCCTGCATCTGCACATGGCCTGTGCACAGGGGTGAGTTGAGTGAGATATTGGGGAGAAAGGGGATCCCTTGGCAAAGACCCAGGATAAAGCATGGACTGTGGGAACTGTAGGTCTGCTCTGCCACTGGCCTCAGGACCCTGAAGACACACTGTATCCAGGGACATTGTGACCCCACCTTGCTGTGGGTTGCCTCCAAGCCTGAGAAGCCCCAGGACACCTAGCATCTGGGAGGCAGCATGGAGCCTGCCTGGGTTTCCAGCCACTGTGGCTGCATTGCAGGGTCACAGAGAGGGACACCTGGGTTTTTTCCCTGCTCATGTCAGTGCCCACTGTCCTGAGTCCAGCTCCAGCCTGGGTGAGGATGAGCAGTGGCAATGTTTATATACAGGTTGTCAAAGGTACTCCTGGTTCATTTCAGAATATTAAATGACTGAGAGTATTTTAAAAATATGTGCTGGATGAGAGCTAGGCACTGATTTTAGATATGAAATTTCATAATATTAAATTTTGTAACAATGTTTGTCACTTCTATTTCTATCATTAATAATTTCATGTTTTTATTTTTTATTATTTTATTTGTACATGATAAAAATAAATTTTTTGTGGTTTGTTTTGATGTAATTATAGATGCATACATAATTTTCTAGCAGAGCAATATTTCCTCTGTATCTTGTATATTTTAAATTTCTCTACCTGTCATCATCTCCTCGATTTATTATATATGTTTTGTCATACCAAATGCAAATACAATGCGTTTCCTTTGTTGTGTGGCTATGATGTCCTTATAAATGCCTAATTAATAATTGTACACTGTACAAATGTTGGTGTCTTAATTAACAAAAAACATATCGCTTCTGCATTTGGGTGGCATTTTCTGATGGGTTAATTTTCCCTAATGGTTTGGTTTCTGTCTCCTTTTCTTCAGGACACATTAGAACTTATGTCCTGGGGGTCTCACTCAGCTTCTTCCAGCTCCAGGTAGGTGCAGGATCACTTTACCTAAACATGATGCCCCTCATTTGCAGACACACTATATTTGATTGCTTAAGCCTGCTTTTCTGAGTATAATATTTGGTCTTATATAAATCAGACATATGACTTGAGACATTAATACATTTTAAAGGACCTGAAAAGTACTGATACCTTGTATGCTATTGTCTTTCTCATGTGAGGGTGCTTGATCACCAACATCACTAAGAATGTCAGCATCTCTCTCCATCAGTCAACAGCTGGTCATTCCAGCTGTATTTTCATACTTACACTGAAACCTAGCTCTAGTGAGGCAGAGGACAACACCCTGACACAGGGGTCCCAGGCGCCATGATGGGTCCTAGGCTGTGCACACCCAGCTGTCCATCACCTGTCCCTTCTTGGTGAGGGGAGCCCACCAGCTGTTCTGCCCCAGTCACTATGAAGCACAGCCTGGCTGTGGGCCACAGGTGCCCTGTGAGCTGCAGAGCCCCAAGACAAGGCCCTCTCTGCACGTGGCCCTCATCACCCATCCTCACCCTCGCCCTCCCTGCACCTTCCCATCTCCAAAGGCCACTGTCCTCTCTCTTCCCAGGACCTGCTGCAGTAGCTTCCCCACAGGAGTGATGGTGTGGTGATGGTCTCCCTCTGCCTTACCCATTTCAGCTAGGTCCATGTGTTCCAGGGCCATTCCCAGAGCCAGTAGGGACAGGATGCCATTCCTGTGGTCTAACTTTATTCTTCCCCTGGGGACAGCATATTTTCCACATCTCATTTAAAGGACAACTTGGTGATCATGAAAAGGTCCTCAAAACACATGGAACTTTAGTTAAGGGCAGGCTTCATATACTTCACTTCCCACCTAATGTGCACACTGGGCAGAGGTCCTGTCCCCAAGCCTCAGGCTACCCACACCATGTTTCTGCTGACCTCAGGCCACACTGCACAGGCGCTGGGCAGCCTGACTGCTACTCTCCACTCTGGCCCTGCAGCTGGCTGACCAACACTGCTGGGCCTTAAAGGTCATGCTCCCAGGCTCCACTAGCATGGCATATGGGGACTCTAGGGACCACACCTACAAAGCTCTGCCTTAACCGAGGCCGACCCAGGGCATCCCCTGGAATGCAGTTGGAGAATGACCCATCTCCACAATCTGGCACCCTGTGTGCCTGCAGAATGAACTTCATGGGTGCTGCCAGGTTAGCTCCTTGGTGACTACTTCAGGTCCCAGATGATAGCAAGCACAAACCAACCCTTTACCCAGTCACAGGGCTGTGTCCACACCTTTAGATGTTCACTATGACCACCTCAGGCCCCAGCACCAGTGTGGTTGAGTCCAGTTTGTGCTGCTCTGAGCAGCTCCTGAGGCTGAGAGTTCACAAGGAGAGAGCTGTGCTGCAGCAAGTTCTGGAGACCAGGGTGCAAAGACCCAGGTGCTGCTCCTGACCAGGGCTCCTGAGGCTGCAGCACCACATGGCAGGAGGCAGGAGGCAAAGAGAGGCAGACGGGGCTGGACCCCCTGAGTGGTGCTGTGTCACACTGAGGCTCAGGGTGTCAGGAAGACTCTACCAGCCCTAGGGCAATCCAGGTGACCAGGACCAGGGTTTCAGTTGTCCTCTGCATTCTGGAACCATGTGGACATGTGAAGAGTGACAGGGCAGCAGTACTGAGGGCATGTGGCTGTGATTCTAGGAAGATTCCAAGACACTTGATCCAGACAGAGAGTCCCTGCTTCCCCTGGGTCTTAAGGGCACAGGAGGAGGACAGGGGGCCTGGATCACAGATGAGATATTAGATAGACCAAGCCTGTGTAGACACTGGCTGGTCCTTCTCCCAGGTCCCTCACAAGAGTTGCATATATGTGGCCCCCTGTGGACACAGCTCATGACAACTGAAAATAAGAACAGAGACTGGGTTTCTCCCTGCCCACACTTGCACCCTGTGCGCACCACGGATGGAAGCAGCATGTGCAGATGAGGGCTCTGTGCCAATTGGATGCTCCTGAGCTGAAGGAGGCCCTCAGAGGGAGGCACAGCCTTCCCCCTGCAGGGAGCCTCTGAGGCCCTCAGCTGGATGCCTCCCTGGAGAGCAGGTGGCAGCAGAGGGGAGAAGACACACAGCACATTTCCAATGCAGGACGGTTCTGAGGATCTCACCAGGTGTGTGCATCTGGGAGCTGGAGGAGGGTCAGAGGAGCCATTGTGTCCCGGGTGAGAGCAAAAGCCCAGATACTTGGTCACTCTTGTCACACACGAGCTGTTGGACAGTGAACCAGCACTCATTCTTCTGTATATTATTTTACATTTGCATCAGGGTGTTAACACTGATACCTCCATCATATGATTTTGTATTTATATTAAATAAATTAAGATTATGTTCAATAAGATCATAACAGAAGCAATTGTACCTTCCTGAATTCTCCTCTGCCCACCATGCTGCCCCATGACACTCCCATCTGCTCTCAGTGCTGCTGTACCTGGGCCTCCACCCAGAGCTGCTATATAGCAGGAGGACATGCAAATAGGGCCTCCCTCTGCTCATGAAAACCAGCCCCCCTGACCCTGCAGCTCTGCACAGGAGCCCAGCCCTGGACTCCCAGCTCAGCCCACTCAGTGATCAGGACTGAACACAGCTGCTCACCATGGAGAGTGTGCTCAGCTGGGTCTTCCTAGTGGCTGTTTTCAAAGGTAATGAATGGAGAACCAGAGACCCTGAGTGTGTGAGTGGACAGGAGTGAGAGAGAGAGTGGATGAGTGCCAGTGTCCTGACCAGGCTGCCTCTGTGTTTGCAGGTGTCCAGTGTGAGGTGCAGCTGGTGGAGTCTGGGGGAGGCCTGGTGCAGCCTGGGGGTTCCCTGCAACTCTCCTGTGCAACCTCTGGATTCACCTTCAGTAACTACTGGATGCACTGGGTTCGCCAGGCTCCAGGGAAGGGGCTGGAGTGGGTTGGAGAAATTAACCCAAGTGGTGGTACAACAAACTATGCCAACTCTGTGAAGGGCCGATTCACCATCTCCAGAGAGAACTCCAAGAACACACTGTACCTGCAAATGAGCAGTCTGAGAACTGAGGACACAGCCACCTATTACTGCACTAGAGACACAGTGAGGAGACCTCAGTGTAAGCCCAGACACAAACCTCTTGCAGGGCGCCTAGGGCCAGCAGGGGGCACTCAGCACACAGGACCTCAGGTGCCCCCTTCAGAGCAGCATAGGACAGTGGATGGTTTCTCTCCAGGTGATCAGCATCTCCCTGGATCCAATTATGAAGAATCTGGAGGTCTCTTCTGCCTCAGATCATCCCATGCTCTTCTCTTACGGAGTCAGGAATGTCTCTCTCCCCACCTATCTCAGGTCAGGCTGCACAGTACACGTGTTAATCTTTGTGTCCCTGTGTGTTTATATTTGTGTTTTTTTTAAATCTGTTTTATTTTTTTAAATATATGACCAAAAAATGCATCACAATTTTTATGACACATATGGAACAATTTTTCATACCTCTGTTTGTATGTAAAGTATATTCACACCAATTCATGTCTTCATGCATGTACATTGGATAACATTGACTATCACAGTCCACCATCCTTGCTAATCCATGCCCCCTCCCTTTCCCTACCACCCTCTTGTCTAATTAGAATTCATCCATTCCTCCCATGCTCCCCCTCCCTACCTCACTATGAGGCAGCCTTCTTATATTAGAGAAAACATTCAGCATTTATTTTTCTGGGATTGGTTCACTTAGCATTGTCTTCTCCAATGCTATTTACCTTCAAATGCCATGGCTTTTTTCTCTTTTATTGATGAGTAAAATTCCATTCTGTGTATATGTCACATTTTTTTTTAAATCCATTCATCCATTGAAGGACATCTAGGTTGGCTCCACAGTTTAGCTAAAGTGAATTGTGCTGCTATAAACATTGATGTGGCTGTGTCCCTGTAGTATGCTGTTTTTAAGTCCTTTAGGTATAGACCCAGGAGAGTGATAGCTGGGTCAAATGGTGGTTCCATTCCCAGCTTTCCAAGGAATCTCCATACTGCTTTCCAAATTGACTGCACCAATTTACAGTCCCACCAGCAACATATGAGTGTACCTTTTCCCCACATCCTCCCCAACACTTGTTGTTTGTCTTCAAAACAGCTGCCATTCTGACTGGAATGAGATGAAATCTTAGAGTAGTTTTGATTTACATTTCTCTAATTTCTAGAGATGATGAACATTTTTTCATATATTTGTTGATTGATTGAATATCCTCTTCTGAGAAGTGTCTGTTCAGGTCCTTGGCCCATGTATTTACTGGGTTATTTGTTTTTTTGGTGTTTAGCTTTTTATGTTCTTTATATACCCTAGAGATTAGTGCTCTGTCTGATGTGTGGTGTGAGGGGTAAAAATTTGCTCCCAGGATGTAGGCTCTCTCTTCACCTCACAGATTGTTTCTTTTGCTGAGAAGAAACTTTTAGTTTGGTTTCATCCCGTTTATTGATTCTTGGTTTTAATTGTTGTGCTATAGGAGTCTTATTAAGGAAGTTGGGGCCTAATCTTGCATGATGGAGATTAAGGCCTACTTTTTTCCTATTAGATGTAGGGTTTCTGGTTTAATTACTATGTCCTTGATCCATTTTGAGTTAACTTTTGTGCATGGTGAGAGATAGGGGATTAATTTAATTTTGTTGCATATGAATTTCCAGTTTTCCCAGCACTGTTTGTTGAAGATGCTATCTTTTCTCCAATGCATGTTTTTGGCACCTTTGTCTAAGATAAGTGTAGTTTCTCTGTGTCCTCTATTCTGTACCATTGGTCTACCAGTCTGTTTTGGTGCCTATACCATGCTGTTTTTTTTTTTCCACTATTGCTCTGTAGTATAGTTTAAGTTCTGGTATAGTGAGACCACCTGCTTCACACTTCCTGCTTAGGATTGCTTTAGCTGCTCTGGGTCTTTTATTTTTCCAGATGAATTTCATGATTGCTTTTTCTTTTCTATGAGGAAAAGAATTGCATTAAATCTATATAGTGTTTTTGGAAATATGGTCATTTTGATAATAGTAATTCTGCCTATCCAAGAGCAAGATAGATCTTTTCATATTCTAAGGTATTCTTTGATTTCTCTCTTTAGGGTTCTGTAGTTGTTATTGTATGGATCTTTCAGTGCTTTCAGTAAGTTGATTCCCAAGTATTTTATGTTTTTGAGGCTATTGTAAATGGCATAATTTTCCTTATTTCCTTCTTAGAGGATTTGTCACTGATATACAGAAATGCCTTTGATGTATGAGTGTTGATTTTATAACCTGCTACTTTGCTGAATTTTTTTTACTAGTTCTAGAAGTTTTCTGGTGGAGATTTTTGGGTCTTCTAGGTATAGAATCATATCATCAGCAAATAGTGTTGATTTAAGTTCTTATTTTCCTATACATATCTCTTTAATTTATCTCATCTCTCTAATTTCTCTGGCCAGTGTTTCAAGGACTATGTTAAATAGAAATGGTAAAAGAATGCTTCCCTGTCTTGTTCCAGTTTTTAGAGAGAATGACTTCAATTTTCCTCCATTTATAATGATGCTGGCCTGGGGCTTAGCACAGATAGCCTTTACAATGTTGAGTTATTTTCCTGTTATCCCTAGTTTTTATAGTGTTTTGAACATAGAGTGCTGTATTTTGTCAAATGCTTTTTCTGCTTCTATTGAAATGATAATATGATCCTTATATTTAAATCTATTGATGTCATGAATTATATTTATTGATTTCCATATGTTGAACCAACCTTGCAATCCTGGAAGGAATCCCACATGATTATGTTGCATGATCTTTTTGATATGTTTTTGTATTCGATTTGCCAGAATTGTATTGAGGATTTTTGCATCTATGTTCATTAGAGGTATTGGTTTGAAGTTTTCTTTCTTTGATGTGACGTTGCCTGATTTTGGAATCAGGGTAATATTGGCCACATATAATGAGTTTGGCGGTACTTCTTCTTTTTTATTTCCTGAAATAAATTGAAGAGTGTTGGTTTTAGTTCTTCTTTAAAGGTCTTGTAGAACTCAGCTGTGTAACCATCCAGTTCTGGGCTTTTCTCTTGTTGGTACTCTTTTGTTGGGATCTTCTCTTTCATCACTTGATATTGGTCTGTTTAAATTGTGTGTATCGCGGCAGAACAGGTGCAGCGGCCTGCTGAGAGGCAGAGCCGCCCCCTCCTCCCGCGCCTGCAAGGTAGGCGGAACTGTGACCACTCACAGAAAAGGCCCAGTGGCCTGCGGAGGGGCAGAGATGCCAACCACGCCTGCAACATAGGTGGGCCTGCGACCCATCAGCAGAACAGGCACAGCAGCCTGCTGAGAGGCAGAGCCGCCCCCTCCCCCCGTGCCTGCAAGGTAGACGGAACTGTGACCACTCACAGAACAGGCCAGACCTGCAACTGACAGACAGAACAGGCCCAGCGGCCTGCGGAAGGGTAGAGCCGCCGCCCCCCCTGCGCCTGCAAGGTAGACGGACCTGCGACCCACCAGCAAGACAGGCCCAGAGGCCTGCAGAGGGGCAGTGCCGCTGCCTGTGCCTGCAAAGTAGGCAGAACTGCGACCACCAACAGAACAAGCCTAGCAGCCCGCAGAGGAGCAGAGCCGCCGCCCGCGCCTGCAAGGTAGGCGGACCTGCTACCGACCGGCAGAAGAGGCCCAGCGGCCTGCCGGCATGGTAGGCACATTGCCCCAATTGGAGGAGGGGCAGAGCCGCCGCCCGCGCCTGTGGGGGAAACTTTGCAACTACACAAGACCAATATAAATATATAGGGGGAAAATTCAATAGCACAACAGTTTCACCAAGCAGAAAGAAACGCGAACAGTATGAAGAGACAAGGAAATAAAGGACCACAAGCAATGCAGGTCAGCTCAACGTTAGAAGAGGTAATATCTGCAGCAGATGGAATGTCAGATAAAGAATTCAGGATATACATGCTTCAGATGATCTGGAGTCTCAAGGAAGACATCAGACAGCAAAATCAGACAATGAAAGATCACTTCGACAATGAATTACACAAACAAATCCAGGAAGCAAAGGATCAACTATACAGGGAGATAGAGGTTATAAAAAACAAACAAACAGAAATCCTAGAAATGCAGGAAGCAATAAACCAACTTAAAAACTCAATGGAGAATACTACCAGCAGAGTAGAACACTTAGAAGATAGAACATCAGACAATGAAGACAAAGTATTTCAACTTGAAAAGAACATAGACAGCTCAACAAGACTGTTAAGAAACCATGAGCAGAACATCCAAGAAATATGGGATAACATTAAGAGACCAAACTTAAGAGTCATTGGGATACAGGAAGGTACAGAACTCCAAACCAAAGGAATGAGCAATCTATTCAATGAAATAATACGAGAAAACTTCCCAGACTTGAAGAATGAGACAGAATCCCAAATCCTAGAAGCCTACAGGATGCCGAATGTGCAAAATCATAAGAGTTCCACACCTAGACACATTATAATGAAGATGCCCAACACACAGAATAAGGAGAGAATTTTAAAAGCTACAAGAGAAGGGAAGCAGATTACATTTAGGGGTAAGCCAATCAGGATAACAGCTGATCTTTCAACACAGACTCTGAAAGCTAGAAGATCCTGGAATAACATATTTCAAACACTGAAAGAAAATGGGTTCCAACCAAGAATTGTGTATCCAGCGAAATTAAGCTTCAGGATGGAAGATGAAATTAAAACCTTCCACGATAAACAAAAGTTAAAAGAATTTGCAGCTAGAAAACCATCTCTTCAAAACATCCTCGCCAAAGCATTACAGGAAGAGGAAATGGAAAATAACAATGAAAACCAACAGTGGGAGGTAGGACAGTAAAGGGGGGGGAATAATCAAAGAGGAAAACAAACCATCTTTAGTAACAGAAATAAACAAATATGGCTGGAAGAACAACCCATATCTCAATAATAACCCTAAATGTTAATGACTTAAACTCACCAATTAAGAGACACAGGCTAGTAGAATGGATCACAAAACAAGACCCAACAATATGCTGCCTACAGGAGACGCATTTGATAGGAAAATACATACATAGGCTGAAGGTGAAAGGTTGGGAAAAATCATATCACTAATATGGACTTCGGAAACAAGCAGGTGTGTCCATACTCATATCAAATAAAATAGATTTCAA